TTGTGTTTCTCCCTACAACAGAACGTTTGTTGTTTTTGTGACCTGAATACCGGGGAGGGTCGGATGGTACTCCTGTGAGGTAGGCATAGGGAGGCTGGGGAGGGCTGAACTAATCTGCAGACTCGTTCCTTCTCACAGGTCACACCCCCAGTTGGCACCAGTGCTCCAGTCTCAGGGGAGTGTGACTGTCGCTGTAGTGTGTTGAAACACTTCCCAGGTGCTGTCTATTCTCCCACATGGTTCTAGCAACATGGATTGCAAGAAGCAAGAAGAAGGAGGGTGTGCACTCCAAGCCTTGTTCTGGCATCAGCAGCATCTTTCGGCCATGTGACTGGGTGGGGGTAGCAACACAGCGCTGCCCACAAGAGGGATGAGAGATGCCAGAGGATGGCTGGGTGTGAGGAGGACAGCAGGGTGGCTCTCAGCGGTTGTCTGACAGTCCAGGACTGTACATCTGGCATCTGCAGTGGAGACGGGGCCGAGCCGCCTCAAGAAGGATGAGGAAGGGATGTCAGCAACGGTGCCTGTGGGCAAGTCCAAGTCGGGGCTCGGTGAGTGCCTTTCTTGAGTGGGAGTGCTAGGAGGGGAGAGGGGGCCCAGATGGACCAGGACGGGTCAGACCGGGTAGGTACCCCATTCGCTCTCCCCGCCCCTAGTTAACCATATGTTAAAGCCCGGCAGCCGGAGGGGGATAGGAAGAGAGACAGAGAGACTAAGAAATTGGTGTTCCTCTTTCTCTTTTTCAGAATCCCCAAGCGGAAATCAGGAGCCCCCAGATAGACTGACCTTCTGTACCCACTGATTCTAGCTCCTCTAGGAAATGTGGGTATTGTGGGGAGAAGCTAGCTATGTCTCATCCTAAACCATTTTGCTATAGATGCAGTAACAAGCTGGCAGGGAAAGAAGCTTCAGACTTGATGAAAGATTTTCTAGCATCTATGCAAGCGGAGATGGTAGCCACCATCCAGTCTTTTCGAACCTCGGTGGCACAGCCTCAGGGTCCAGAACTAGAGTTGCTAACCCCGAAGGAAGGGCCATCCTCATAGGAAATCTTTAATTGCAGAGGGGCCCTAGTTTTTCTTCCTCCAGCCCAAGCCAGGGATGAGGAGGAGAGTAAGGGGGAGCTGGATAGTAAGCCTAAATAAGACCACAGCTCAGGGGAGGAGGTGGACCTAGATCTGGGTAGTGAGGCAGGTAAGGAGATTAAAAACTGGAACTCGCCTCTTTCTGCTGGAGGACTTGCAGGGCCTCCTTCAGGTGGTTTACACCACTGAAGAAATCCCAGAAAACCCCAGCGAGACCTCAGCGCAGGACTAAATGTATAGGGGCCTAGGTAAGGCCCATGCTAGGGTGCTCCCCTTCCACCAATCCCTAAAGGATTTAATCCTACAAGAATGGAAAGATCCTGATAGGAGAATAGCCTGACCTAGACTTGGAAAATAAGGTTCCTCTTTAAAGAAGAGGAGTAAGATAGATTTTTTTTGTGTGTGTTTTTTTTTAGTGTTTTTTCAGGCACCAAATCACAGGGTATTGAAATACCCTGCGATTTGGTGCAGTGCATTTTTTAAAAGTAGTGCATGCACTACTTTCTCCTGCATTATGATGCATGTTCAGTTCAAATGAATTGTTTAATTACTGTCTTTTTATAGCTGGTCTTATCCTTTTAATTTTCAGTATTTTTAATATGTTGATGTAGGATTATTTATTCTTTTATATTTTGATATTTGGCTATCTTTCAGTTTAACATTGTTAGGTTCTTGTATATGAGGGCCCTTCCGGTGTTTGGAATGCAGTAAGCATCCTATTTGGCCCATGGTAACTTTGGTTAAATCTACTTCCCATCGGAGATAGCGTTTCCTGTCAATGGAGTGCATCCCAATGAGGGGAAGTGTCCTTTTGAGTCCTATTTAAACCATGCGATGCGTTTGCGCTGGCCACGCCCCTGATTATGTGTTTTGATTAAACTCATAGGGTGGAGCCACGCCGTATGATGTCATCGTGCTCCACAAGGACAGTGGCCATCTTGTTGGTTTGAAACACACTATTCTGTTATGCTGTTTTTGATGATGCCTATGTAAGTGCAATTTTAATAAATCTTCTGGTTGAACTTATATACTACACTATGAGGTGGCATTTTTTCTTTATATGGTGTTGTCACCCGATGGGAAGTTTGATACTCAAGAGTATCTATTACCTAGAGAAGTGTCTGTGATTATATAGGGAGCAGTCTACACTGAGGACCTTGTGCTGTATCAATTAGATATACTTTATTGCATGTTTTGGCCAATCCTTGGGGCGGTCAAACCTTCTGGTAAGAGGCCAATTCTTTTGGGTGGAAGGTGATGGTCTTTCTGGATCGGGCTTTTTTATTTATGTAACAGCTTCTGCCTGAATATATGGATCCCATAAGGACTTTGCTGCCACTTATGTGCAATTATTATTAATGTTTTTTTTTTTGCTATACCATTAAGATGCATGTATAGATAGTACTACAATTTTTTTGCTGTTATTTAAGTTTTTTGCCTGTTGAATGTGCAAGCTGCTTATCATTTTGATTATTTAGATTCTAAGCGCAAGTTTTATTTACACAATTCAAATGAATGGGCTGCAGAATCACACTGCAGAAGAACGTGCAGGGATGTGTGCCGCATTCCTGTGCAATATGGGTGTCATTCAGCTCTTGCTCTTACTGAAGAAGTCAAATTTGCTTTGCACATTGCAAGTGAAAAAAATCTTTATGGAAATGGATAATACTGCAAGTAAGCATTTAAAATATTAGATTTTTCAGTGTCTTTTCATGCAATTTTTTAATGTGACAACGGCTTTTCAAATAAATTTAAAGTTCTTACAGTGGTGATCGCAGGACCTTATTAGTTTGTGCTTGCTTTACCCCTTCACTCCTAAGGGTAAGCCAAATTTTAACACCTAAACACAATCTTGCAATTTGTAGTTCCTACACCGTTCACCTGATTTGGATGTAAATACCCTCAAATTAAAGCTGACAGTCTGCAGTTAAAGCACATCTTGTTTGTTTCATTTCAAATCCATTGTGGTGGTGTATAGAGCCAAAAATGTTAGAATTGTGTCGATGTCCCAATATTTATGGACCTGACTGTATGTGTATGTTATTTGTTGTTTGTACCCACAGTACAGCCCAATAGTGTGCATTTTGTTTTTTCTTCTTTTTTACCTAAAACACACTGACACTAACTGACACTGATACCAATTAAAAAAAAAAATCCCGAGCTTTGACCTTGACCCAAACACTAACCCTGACCCTGAACTTGATCAAACCTTGATCTAGGTATTTTTTCTTTACTTTTTATTTATTTATCTTTTTTTTAACAAACTGTTTTTTTTCCATCTATGCGAGGAGAGAGAGAGAGAGATGCAATGTATCTCTCTCCTCCATTCATAGAGAAAAAAAAAACAAGGGGGCGGGCTGTACAGTGACTGATCACTGTGATAGCCAATCAGAGGCTATCACAGCAATCATGTGACCTGGAATCAGGAGTCCAGGTCCCGATCATTAGAACGGGACCCAGGGCTCTCAGTGACAACCTGGTTTTTGTGTGGCACGCTCCCAGCACAAAGGCAGGTACGCAAATATGTGACCCCCGCCGAAAAAAGCCTATTTCTTTGAGGCTGCATATTTGTGTTAAGTCGGTATGAAGGGGTTAAAGTGGATTGGTGTTGATGTCAAGGACCACTGCAGTCTGAGGAACAGTAAGGCACTATATAAATCCTGTATAATAATAATAATAAAGGGACTAAAATTGTTACCCTGTGAACTGCATAGAGCTTCTATACCTTTTACATTGGAGAATCTGGTGATTGCTGTGTTTCACCAACTTTGGTGTGGAATTACTTATTAAGGGCTTGTTTACACTTGCATTGCCTCCTCACTACCAGTTTTCACTGCTATAAACTGACATCAGTGCGCCACAACTGTGTGCATTGCAGTTAGGTCAGGTTCTGTGGGCGGTACTGCACCCAAGCGCTGTGATGGTAGTAAATTTTGCCACACCATGATGCAAAGCATCGTGGCCATGGTATAGGTAGGCGCCCCGATCAGTTGCCTTTGCAGTTTAATGGGGAGCAGTTGGGGCTGTGGTAAAAACATGTCACAGATGTGTAATTTTACTCCCCCCCCAAACCACAGGCAATATTTCAACAGCACATCAGATATATCAAAATTTTAGATATTTATTATCCTATACCAAAAAAGTGAAATTTCAGGGCTGCTGAGGACCCCTTCCTGCTGTCCGAGGTAGGAGTTCTTAGCAGTTCCAAAACCATGCTTTTTTTTTTTTAATTAAAGCCTCCTCTGTCTGTCACCTTCACACACATTTTTGCTGAAGGTTTCTTGGCAAGTAATGCACTGGATATTTAGTGATAATATGGCTTTGTCCCATACGACAAGGAGCCTGAGCAGTTACATGAGCAATGCTTCTGTTCATAGTTCTACCCAAACCTGGCCCACAGGAGAACACCCATTCTCAGCTACATGAAATATACCAGACCTTGCTTTTCATGCCACTCTCCTGGCTATTCCAATCGTTCACCAATCCTGCGTTCCCCCATGTTCCTGTTATCATAGGTGATGTGATCTACTTCCTCCAATAGATGTGTGCTCTAATGGAAATCGAAAACTGTTTCTCCTTGTGCAAAAAAACACAACAAACAACTTTATTTAAATACACTCTCATTCCTGAGATATTGGCTTAGCTATATACTACAGTGTCATGGTGCTAGAGGTCAGCGTTCTGTTTATCATGCAGACACCTTCAGTCATCAGCATTAGTTTCGTTCACCCTTCTACTCAGTTGGTTTGGACTTTTGCCAGGAGAGGATGCATATCAAGTGACCCTAACTTAAAGTTTTGTAATTAAACTGTATTTTCAATCATTTATTTCTACTCGTTTTTCTAGTACACTGATGCCTATAAACTGTGCCTTTTTTAAGGATCCTAGAAGTAGCTTTATTCATTTTTATTTCAGGGGGCATCAGGCATATATGAAATCTGGTCCACACTATGACTTTATGCAATACCGGATGTTGGTGCATGAGATCACTCAGGCTTTCAGTGGCATCAGCAAAGAGATTATCCAGATGAAGGATAGGTTTCGGGAAGTGTATGATCGGTCAGATCTCTCAGAACACCTAGAAAAGATTCAGGAGCTGGAGAAGGAAAAATTATCATTGGTAAAGTATATATACTATTTTTAAATATTGACATGCTGGGTTTTCTTTTCTTGTCTTTCCTTTGTGCAAAGTAGAGCTAATACTGTACTTACCAGGCCAATCTCATTTTATCAGACAGCTAGGCTGCAGTTAGCCAAACAGAATGCCCAAGACCATCCTAGTGAGGAGTCCTACAGAGAGGAGGTGCAGCAACTAAAACAGAAGTAAGTAACCTTAATTCATTGCTAAACTTGCATGTGGTTTAAGACCTTAAGACCCCAAAAGTTAAAATATTTACAAGCAGCTATATTTGAACACTAAACCAGCATCTATGCCATCTATGTACTTCTATGTCACCCAGTGAAGTATTTGAAAAAAATATTTCCTTGATTTCCTGAAGAGTAGTAAATACTTTCACATACATGCTAGGAGTCTTCAGGAGGGGTTTTCTTAGCTAAGAACACTCTCCTGCCTGCATGCCTGAGCTGAGGGCAGATGGATTCCAGGAAGTAAATGCTACATGAATCATCTGTCCTTAAGATGGTCACTGCCAGAAATGCTAAGGGCTGTTTTTTTTTCCTCAGCAAAATAAAGCATGGAGACATGGATGGATGGGTGGATTTAATATTAAAAATTAAATAAATAGCGTTTTTTGGTTTGTGATGCTCAAATACAGTGTAGTTCCACTTTAATGTATTAATCTGTAGGGTAGGTGCTGGAAATTTAAGCTGTCATTGACAGCCCTAGTCAAGAGCTAGGCTCCTCCACTTCTGCTCCATTTAGGATATCTTGGTGTAGGGAAAATGCTGCTAAGTCTCTGTAAACACCTGAGTCCATGCTGAAGGTGAGTCAACTTTATAGGAAGACATTTCTGTAATCGGTATCTGTTTCTTGCTAACAGTGGTCTATACCAGTGTTTCTCAACTTTTTTTCAGTCAAGGCACCCTTTACAATTCTGCACAATTTTGAGGCACCCCATTCTAAAATATAATAAACTAATAGATTTACATCAGCAACATTCACCCATGTAGGACACCCAAAATTAGAGGTCACTTATTTTCCCAAAGCAAATATACCTTTACACGCCGATATTGACTAGTATTTCAATGTTTCTCTTGTCTCTCAGTTTCTTGTCACTCAGTTTCCTCAGCTAATGTGACCCCAGTTCTGATGGAGAGGCGCAAACACGGATGCTGTGCAGGCAACCAACGTCCTCCTTATCAACCGATGATATCATTGGTTGTTAGGACACTGGCGGCTAGAAGGTTGTAATGGTGAACCATTAAAAACCTTTGCCAAGGCATCCCTAAATTCACCTGAAAGCACCCCAGGGTGCCTGGGCACACTGGTTGAAAAAGGTTGATCTATACAAACGGTCTGTTTCTTCAGAGGAACATGAGATGCTGGATCAGATCATGGATAGCCTGCTCCATCTACTTTATGCACAATGAAAATGGGGGAAAAAAGGCAAAAGAAAAACCTTTTTTGCAAATGTAGCATATGCTCGAGAAGGCTACTGGTTGATGATGATGATTGATTAAAACAGTCACTAGACTCCTGATAACAGCACAGATAATGAGAATGACCAGAGTTCTCTATCAATAGTGCAGGGACTGCCAGCACATACGGATCACAGTTCAGGCACACTTACACAGAAAGCAGTTTAGGGGATGGATTCTTTTTTGTGATTTTATTGTTGAATAACTTGGATGGGGTGTACAGTCATGGCCGAAATTGTTGGCACCCTTGATATTTCTCCAGGAAATCATGTATTTCTCACGAAACGTATTGCATTAACACATGTTTTGCTATACACATGTTTTATTCCCTTTGTGTGTATTGGGACAAAACAAAAAAAGGGAGGAAAAGAAAGCAAATTCGACATAATGTCACACAAACCTCCAAAAATGGGCTGGACAAAAGTATTGGCACCCTTTCACAACTGCGGATAAATAAAATGTTACAAGCATGTGATGCTCCTGTAAACTCACCTGGGGCAAGTAACAGGTGTGGGCAATATAGAAATCACACCTGAAAGCAGATAAAAAGGAGAGACGTTCACTTAACCTTTGCATTGTGTGTCTGTCTGTGCCACACTAAGCATGGACAACAGAAAGAGGAGACGAGAACTGTCTGAGGACCTGAGAACCAAAATTGTGGCAAAATATCAACAATCTCAAGGTTACAAGTCCATCTCCAGAGAACTAGATTTGCCTTTGTCCACAGTGCGCAACATTATCAAGAAGTTTGCAACCCATGGCACTGTAGCTAATCTCCCTGGTCGTGGACGGATGAGGAAAATTGATTGAAAGATTGCAACGCAGAATAGTCCGGATGGTGGATAAGCAGCCCCAAACAAAAGACATTCAAGCTGTCCTGCAGGCTCAGGGAGCATCAGTGTCAGCTGCGAACTATCCGTCGACATTTAAATGAAATGAAACGCTATGGCAGGAGACCCAGGAGGACCCCACTGCTGACACAGAGACATAAAAAAAGCAAGAAGACTACAGTTTGCCAAAATGTACTTGAGTAAGCCAAAAGCCTTCTGGGAAAACGTCTTGTGGACAGATGAGACCAAGATAGAGCTTTTCGGTAAAGCACATCATTCTACTGTTTACCGAAAACGGAATGAGGCCTACAAAGAACAAAACAACAGTACCTACGGTAAAAATATGGTGGAGGTTCACTAAATGTTTTGGGGTTGTTTTGCTGCCTCTGGCACTGGGTGCCTTGACTGTGTGCAAGGCATATCATCATGAAATCTGAGGATTTACCAAAGGATTTTGGGTCGCACTGTAGGGCCCAGTGTCAGAAAGCTGGGTTTGCGTCCAAGATCCTGGGTCTTCCAGCAGGACACCAATGACCCCAAACATACGTCAAAAAGCACTCAGAAAATGGATGGCAAAGAAGCGCTGGAGAGTTCTGAAGTGGCCAGCAATGAGCCCAGATCTAAATCCCATTGAACACCTGTGGAGAGATCTTAAAATTGCTGTTGGGAAAAAGGTGTCCCTTCCATAAGAGAGACCTGGAGCTGTTTGCAAAGGAAGAGTGGTCCAAAATTCCGGGGTGAGAGGTGTCAGAAGCTTATTGAGGTTATAGGAAGCGACTGATTTCAGTTATGTTTTCCAAAGGGTGTGCAACCAAATATTAAGTTAAGGGTGCCAATACTTTTGTCCAGCCCATTTTTGGGGGTTTTGTGTGACATTATGTCATATTTGCTTTTCTGCCTCTGTTTTATATTTGTTCCAATACATACAAAGGGAATAAACATGTGTATAGCAAAACATGTGTTAATGCAATACCTTTTTTGTGTGAAATACTTGATTTTCAGGAAAAAATATCAAGGGGTGCCAACAATTTCGGCCATGACTGTATGTGGTACTCCAGAACCACTAACAGAAACAAGAGTACACACACTTCTTTATGTTGTAAACATCAGGAAAATCTTCTTCTCAGCTCAGAATATATTCCTCTTGTGAGAGACTAGTAGAGACCAAAGATATGTACCCACAGGAGGGGAACTATTTGAATTCCAGTTCAGAGGATAGCCCTTCCATAAAAGATTATAGGAGACTAATTGTATGAACCTTTCAAGAGAGGAACTACTTAGCCCAAACTTAGTGTAAAGTCTTCTTTTCCTGAAAATAAAGGGGACAAGTCGGTATGTACTTATCAGGAGAGTAACTATGTGGCCCAGCAATCCCAATAGTACACAGTCACCTGGATATTGCAGTAAAGCAGTACTCAAGAGGCCAAGGTAGCAGCCCTTCCAGCTTCCTCAGGTGCTTTCCAGTGAGGCTATGCGGACTAGGTGAAGTGAAAGGTGCTTTGGACAGCAGCATTGTCAGTCTTGGGGGGGAGGGGGGGGGGGTGTTGTGTTAGATGTACTAGCAGATTTAGATACACTAACAAATTGAAGTTTAAACTCCAGCTTCCACTTTTTAAGCAGTAACAACCACAGTGTTGTTCATTTTGCAATAAAGGTTTTACATAAATACAAAAAAAATAATAATCTTGTAAGCACACCTGTCAGTGGTATATGGCTTGTGTCAACCCTTTAATTGCTACATCAATAGTGGTGGTGGTGGGGGGAGGGGGGTTCCCTGTATCCTGTGTAGAAAGTCAGTCTATGGTCATACATGTAGAAAAGTCTGAGATCTTAGATATTTTAGAAATCATTTAGAAGCAGTTTCTAGGATGTGCTACTACAGATGACTTTAATTTGCTGCAAATGTTGCTGGAATAAATCTTGCAGAGAGTAGCATGAAAAATTCCCAGCATCCCTATGAGAGGATCATAGCAGAGTATGCTTAGAGTACTATGCTGTATCTATGAAAACTCTGAAATCAATAAATCTGAATCTGATGGCTACCATTTTGAGAGCATTTTATTGTAATAAACTACTGTAAAGTCGCCATAGCAAAGAGTATTGCACTTCCTTCTTTGGAGCTATCAAAAAATATAACATTTAAAAAGGTTGCATAAAAAAAGGAACATATATAAACTGCTTTGGGTATCATTAATTTACCAGCTGTAGCATATCAATTATATATAAAATCTATAGAGGTGTAGAGGGTTTTAAGAATCCCTTACTTCATTTTAATATATTCTTGCACCAATTTGAATTGGTTATGATCGTGTCCTAAGCTGTATGCACATAAATAAGATGGAAATTATATTCCGATTTGTAATTGGATTTCCATATTTTGTTTTGGCTCACATATCGCCACTCATTTCCCACTAATTCACACTTCCCCTTGTCTGCTCTTCTTGTTTACTCTCTGACAACCCCACATATCAGATCTGGTTTAGGTAACTGCTCTTGTTTTTAACATTCATTTTCAAGCTTGCATTGCATACATTAATAATAATAATGATGATGATGATAATAATCACATATCCTTTATCTTCAATGATACCCTGATGTGTCCATAAAATGCAGCTGTGCTACAGTGCACCACAAGAGTTATGTATTGTGGTGAAAGATTTCCTGTGTTATGGAGCTTTCAAAATGTTTGGGCTGAAGAAACTCAGCACACACCACAGTGCACACATAAGCATGTTGCAGGACATGTTAACAGCAATGCACCATTGTGTGATGACATTTGGTTTGATAAAGCACTGTGCATTAGATGCCATGGGAATTTTTTATATGTCCTAAGAATGTTCTGCTGAGATGTTTTCGAACACATGACTGTATGAAATTCTACCTCTGTGTGGTCAG